TCATTGCGATTCAAAATTGAACATCACATAAAGTAATGATCCAGCAGCAGGTTCACCTACAGCTACCTTGTTACGACTTTTGCCCGGTTCAAGCCACTGCGATTAAATTGGTTTCCATCAAAATAATTTAGATAAATTAAATCAACGGTCCCCAAATTTCTCGAAATGGCTCAGTCCCGGGCAGCGACGGGCGGTGTGTACAAAGGGCAGGGACGTAATCAACGCGAGCTGATGACTCGCACTTACTTGGAATTCCTCGTTCACGGAAAATAATTGCAATTTCCGATCCCAATCACGGCAAATTTTCAATGGTTTACCCGCCCCTTTCAGGGTAGGACAAGCACGTTGATTTTGCCAGTGTAGCGCGCGTGCAGCCCCGGACATCTAAGGGCATCACAGACCTGTTATTGCTCAATTTCTTTCGGCTGAACGCCGCAAATCCCTCTAAGAAGCTGTATACACAAAGAGTATGTACCAACTATTTAGTAGGTTAGAGTCTCGCTCGTTATCGGAATAAACCAGACAAATCACTCCACGAACTAAGAACGGCCATGCACCACCATCCACTGAATCATGAAAAAGCTATCAATCTGTCAATCCTCACAGTGTCCGGGCCGGGTGAGTTTCCCCGTGTTGAGTCAAATTAAGCCGCAGGCTCCACTCCTGGTGGTGCCCTTCCGTCAATTCCTTTAAGTTTCAGCTTTGCAACCATACTTCCCCCGGAACCGGAAGACTTTCGTTTCCGGGAAGCTCCCCACCAAGGCAATATAATTTCCATCAGCGGATCGCTAGTTGGCATCGTTTACGGTCAGAACTAGGGCGGTATCTGATCGCCTTCGAACCTCTGACTTTCGTTCTTGATTAATGAAGACATTCTTGGCAAATGCTTTCGCTGTAGTTTGTCCGGCCACGGTCCAAGAATTTCACCTCTCACGGGGCCATACAAATGCCCACGTTTGTCTCTGTTAACCATTATCTCAGTCCGTAAAACCAATAAAACTGAACCGAAATCGTTTTCTATTATTCCATGCACGATCATTCAAGCGAAAACGCCTGTTTGAAGCACTCTGATTTGTTCAAAGTAAACTTGCAATGACTGTTAAAAATCCTGTTAAGGACTCAAAACCGAACATTACGATAAATCGATAACACCCAGAAACACCCGAAGGGTTCCAAGGTACCGATACGAATCCAACTACGAGCTTTTTAACCGCAGCAATAATTCTATGTATTAGCAGAGCTGGAATTACCGCGGCTGCTGGCACCAGACTTGCCCTCTGCTTGATACTCGTTAAAGGGTTTAAATTGTACCCATTCCGATGACCGGCCTCAAAGAGAACAGTCTCGTTATTTCTCGTCACTACCTCCTCGAGCCGAGAGTGGGTAATTTGCGCGCCTGCTGCCATCCTTAGACGTAGTGGCCATTTCTCAGGCCCCTTCTCCGGAGTCGAACCCTGATCCTCCGTTATCCGTCACCACCACGGGAGTCGATTATGCTCCCGTCAAGTTGATAAAGTGGACGCTTGAAAGACACGCCGCCGGCACAAGGCCATGCGGTCAGCTTAGTTATTCTGAGTCAACAAGAAGCAGCCGAAGCCGCGTGGTTTTGTTCTAATAAATGCGCTTTTCCGAGAGGACAAAGCTCTGGTGCATGTATTAGCTCTAGCTTTTCCACAGTTATCCATTTAGATAATCAAGATCAAGTAAATCATGGCCATTGTAATGAGCCGTTCGCGGTTTCTCGTTAAAACGATTAAACTTATACATGCATGGCTTAATCTTTGAAATGAACACATCAGTTCAGGCAGGATCAACCAGATATCTTTTATTTAGGTAGTTAGCAGAGCTGGAATTACCCAGTCTGCGGGTAATTAAGCTGTCATTAATATTGATTATATTGATAATTTTAGAATAAAATCTCGAAAATAATCTGAAATTAAAAAATTAATGACAGCTTATTATATATTTAATTTCCTTTGCAAAAGATATCTAAATTATTTACAATTTATCAGCGGCACTTTCACAAAAGTTATCAATGGCAATTCCTGACAATTGTCTGGAGCCAAATAAATATTGCAGCTGGAGAAAAATTAGGATTATAAAGCTTATGATTATTATCAGATTTAGAATAAAGCTGCTTTAAAATATCTGATAATAAAGCTTAAAATAATAATAACATTAAATTTTTTAAAAAAATAAAGCTTATAATAATAAACTTTAAATTTAAAAAAAGATTAAAGTTTATTATTATAAGCTTTATTTTTTTTGAAAAATTTAATTCTTCAAAAAAATTTTTTTAATCCTAATTTTTCTCCCACACATTTTTATAATTGCCCGTTTTCTCTTTGCCTTAAACCATTCCCGCGAACAGCGAACAACAAATAGCCCCGCCCACTTTGCCTTAGAGAATTTTTTCTTAAATATTGAGAAATTGAAAACACAGTGATTACGACCATACCGCGTTGAAAGCACGCCATCCCGTCCGATCTGGCAAGTTAAG